ACACACACACACACACACACACACACACACACACACACATTTACAGTGAGAAATACTGGTGATCAGATGATTGTGTTGATTAACATCCGAGTACAAAATAGTTATGAGAAACTTTATGATATCTTTTTTCTTAGTTTTATGGCTACAGTGAGCACAATGTACTTAAGTTAGAGCTAATTTATGAGGCTGCATTGATCTTGGATGCTCTGCATAGAATGTGTATTAATGCCCATTACAAGCTGTTTGTTAATCATATGATATTTAATGATTTAGAAGTTATTGGGTGAATTGAAACTAAATGCTATATTACATTTGTTACATCATATTGAGCCATGTGTGACCTGGGCAGGCCCTGCACTTTCAGCTGTGGGTATGTATACAAGTGACATTCAGTTCTTTTATTCAGTTCAAAGCACACAAAGTCCATGTATCATATAAGATGCTATTCAGGCATAAAATACCAATATCACTACACTGTGTTTTGAAAGGTGTCATTTTGTAGATATGTCACTGTAATAAACCATATGTTTGTTACCAGTATTTATCTAAAATCTCAACACAATACATCATTTTGACAATTGTATTCAATGTAATATGATTCCAAGTAAGTGACTCCTTGGTTCAGCATATTTGTATCGGCAATCTTTCTGACACAGTGTACTGACCTAAGATTAGTTTTTCCAGGATTGCAAGTCCTTCTAAAACTATCTTTATTTGATTGTTTAGACTCCTTGAGTAATCTATAAACATTAAATTTGTAAAAGTAGCTGAACATTATAGCACATCTATGTAATAAAAATAATTATTTTATAAATTCCTGAATATAGATGACTTTTCATTAGTGTTATTTGTAAAAAGTGATGTTGCGATGAAACAGGTGGACTACTCAGCAAGTAAGTGGTTGATGAAGAATATGGATCCCCTAAATGAGAATGTGGTATTATTGCTCCAGTGTGCCCAAGATCCTTTTATAGTACAGATATGGAAGGATGGTAAGTCATTCTTGAAGTAGTCGTCATAGATAATAACTTGCACTGATTTCTTTTTTGGCTGTGAAGCTTTTATAAAACTTGTTAAATAGATAGCATAATATTTTGTCAGGTCATTAAACCTTCCCTATTTTTATTCATTATGTTGTTATTTTCATTCTCCTTTCTACCTTAGATTTTGAAATAAAAGTATTTAATGTAAATGTAATGTAAAAAGCTTTTGCAGATCAATGTTTTCTTTGTTTGTTGTGAGAGTTTAAGGATTGGACCAGCCACTACAGTAGAGATTTGTTATTTTTTGAACTTTCTAACTGATATTCCAGAGACAGAACAGTTAACGTAACTTGTACTTTGTTTTTTTCTACTTGTTATAGTTAATATTCTGGGTATCAGAGCAGGCAGTATAAATGATAATGTATGTTAATATTTTCCCTCTGCTTTTAGTATCTTAGAGTGTGTAGTAATGTTAATCCAATGAGCACAGATGGATCATAGTGTGCAAGTTACAACTTTTTTTAACAGTTACATTCAAAATTTAATTAATCTTATTATCAATGTATGTCAATAAAATTGGCATCAAACATAGTTTATAATTCAAATTTTAATATTGTATAAATTGTAATTCATTAATTTTAAAAGGAAATACTTAAATAAATTCTCAGTCCTTACTTCTATGTATCATGCAAGACTTCTTCATTTCAAATTGCCTATTTTAGATTTTCTTTTTTCCTTATATGATATTTTGAGCGTGCTACCAATACATACTTACACTATAGATATTGCTAAGCCGTAATGTAGACAAATAGCCTCCAAATTACGTTTTACTGAGATATATATATATACAAGAAAGTTAAACCCACCTACCACACCAATCCTGTCTATCTAAAAAAATTCAGTGGTTCTCCATTATTTGCTGTTGGATTATTTATAATCAATAAAAATTGCAGATTGTTCTTTTTCAAGATTCCTTTGAAGTCTAGTTCATTTTGGGACCAGATTATGAAATATTTTGCTCCAGTTTCGTTGTTTTCCATTGTGGTGTTTGATTGAACCAGCTATTGGAATTTTTTTAAACCTATTTATAGTTAGAAAGCCAGTTAAATTATAGTAGTTTTAGGATATTCTAATTTTGTGTGTGGTAATGTTTTGTGTTACAAATTGTATATTTGAAATAAAAAATTAATAGTATTTTGGATCGCTAACATTGTTACAAAAAAAAAGTAGGTTTGTGGTGCTTTTTTCTGTCAATGGCAAAAGGCCTGAATTCCAGCCTTAAGTACTAAATTTCTTATTTTTCATGTATATTTTTAATTTCTTATTATAAAAGTAACTAAAATGGAAAAATTAGAAACTTATTATGTCAAATACGAAAATTTAAATGAAAAAAAAAAAACAACTAAATAAAAACATTTTTTGTGATACTCAATATCCTATCAAATGTATATCTTGTGCCATGATTGTAGTTTGATTTTGGGTTGCTTGTAATGTGATTATTCGTTCACACACAGCTATCCAACCCCAGCTATTATAAATGGCTTTTGAGATGCTCTGAGACTTCCTTAGTGCAGCTATAATGCAATAAAACAAAAATAATCCAGATTTGAAAAGTCTGTTGGCTGTGGCTGTAAGAATAAATTTATATGCTACTAAAACTCTGAGATTGTTTGTTTGTTTGCTTGCTTGTCTGTAATTAAATACAGCAAAAAGAGCACACAATAGCGCCATATTTGTAATGAAATGAGAACAGAATAAAACAAGTTTCGTTAAAATCGGGTCCAAGGGTTACCGTGTTAGCGCCATTTTT